GCTCAAGTTTTTATTCAAAGGAGTTTATAAACAAGTAAGGGAGGGTAGAAGAGATATATAAAGACAAGCTTCAAGTTGTTTTAATGAAAGTATAAAGACTTTATTAGTAAGGAAGTATAAAACTTCTTGCGAACATCTTTTTTGTATATAATCAAAAGATTAGTAGAAAGAGTTTTTTATATTATTTTATAATATAATTTAATTGATACTTCTATTATAATTTACAAATTAAGCTAATATAAATATACTTTTAATATTTTATGAGGAATAATAGAATTAAATATTTTACTTCCAATTTGATATCTATTACAGTCAACACTCCCTAAATGCACACTCTTTAAATGCATACTCTCCCTAAATACACAATATTCTGTGGTCCCAATCTCAGAATATAGTACTTAAATGCACACTCTATATTCTATATGTGCAATAGATTTTTACAATTCCATCTATATAAGAATAATTCTCTAAATGCATACACATGATATTAATTATAAATTTAGTAAGTAACATTAATATTGTTATACATTGAATAAAATTTTAATTGATACATTAGCATAGTATGTATCATTGATTTTAAACTTTGAAATTGTATACAAATACATAACATTAATTAATAAAAGTATCATGCTTCCAAAAATAAAGATTACTTTGACAGATACTCAAAAGTATTAATTTTGTCTATATGCTCATTACAATTCAGGAAATGGAATAGAATATATTAACTGGATTGAAAACAAATAGAATATCAGGGTTAGTGAATCCATAGTATCACGTATTCTTCAACAAAAAGATAAACGACTTTCAACTAAGATTAATACATCAAAAGCAAAGAGACATAGATCAGTCATATTTCCACAACTTGAACAAGCTCTTAAAGAGTTTGTATTGATATATCAGCATCAAGTAGTATTAAGTGATACTGTATTAATTAAACATGTCAAATCATTAGCAAGTAAATTAGAGATCCTTGAAGGTGCATTAAATTTCTCTATTGGTTGGCTTCAGAAATTCAAAAAGCGTTATTCTATTTATCAAGTTAAACTACATGGAGAAGAAGCATCTGTTGATTTAATAGCAGTTTCTGAGGTTTTACCACAATTGCATAATATAGGCAGTAACTACCTACCTGAACAAATTTATAACATAGATGAGACAGGACTTTTTTATCGTTAAATAAATATATCTTTATAAATAGTTTAATGCAAAAATATTTTTAATAAATATTATATTAATTTTTATAGACTAGAACCAGATAGAACACTAGCTACTCAACGTCTTGCCGGTTGCAAAAAAGATAAGGAACGTCTTTCTATTGCACTTTGTGCAAACTCTAATGGGTCACATAAATTAGATCCACTGGTTATTGATAAATATGCAAGACCACGTTGTTTTAAAAACATCAGTTTTTATAATCTGCCAGTAACATATTGAAATAATAATAAGGCTTGGATGCTTATATCTTTGTTTCAAGAGTGGATCCAAAATTTCGATAAACAAATGGCTGATAAGTATGGAGATAATCGTGTTTTGCTTTTTTTAGATAATTGTTCAAGCCATAAACTGGAAGGTTTGAATCTTCAACATGTCGATATACATTTTCTTTCACCTAATATGACTGCTAAAATTCAACCTATGGATGGTGAAATTATAATGGCTTTTAAAAAACATTATCGTCATTATCAAATTCGATATTGTATAATGTATTCTTGTTAAAAGTTAAAAAAGAATTTAACATTAATATTATATTTTATTTATAGCTGGATGTTAGAGCAAGTTGAAGCTGGACAAGAAATAAAACAACAGAAAATGGTGTGTCAAGCTATCCGATATATTAGTAAAGCGTGGGAAGAGATTACACCTAAAACAATTTATCAATGCTGGCAACATACTGGCATTATTCCTAAAACTGATAATGTCAACTTACAAACCATTCCCGATGGAATTCATATGATTAATGATTTGATTCTTGATGAAATTAGCAGAATGCTCAGAAGTCTTAATCTTTCAGAGTCAATGAAAATTGAAGAATTTCTCACGGTTCCTGAAGAAAACATTGTTTACGAGATTCCAGATAGTAAACAAATAGTTACAGAGCTTTCTGAGATTTTTAAAGATGAAAATAGTAATTATTTAGAGAACACAGATGACAGCAATGAAACAACAGTTATTAGCGCAAGTACTGCATTAAAAAGTCCGGAAACTGTACACGCATTCTTATTGCAACAAGAAAATACGAAAGATCAATTGAAGTGTGCAAATATTTTAGAAAGATATATTAGAAAAAAAATATTAGTTCAATGCAACAGTCAAACTTAAACCAATATTTCAAATAAAGCTTATTTTTAGTAGCGAGATAGTTTTAGATAGTTTCTTATCATTTTAGCTATAGTCTATTTGTGACATTATTATTTGTATAAATAGACAAGCATCACAGACAATAAAGAGACATTTAACCCGTTGAACCTGGAATTGAAAAAAGGAGGAAATCAAGTCTTTGTTTTGCCTTACACAATGGTTCTACTATTCTAGGGTAACGAAGCATACAGAAATCCCGCAAAGAAGGTGAGAAAGGTACAAAGGTCGACTGGGATACGTGAGATACAAGAAGAAGAAAAACAAAGAAGCTTTGGCCTAATCTTTAAGCCTTTTTTGGGAATGAAAGTTAACCGACCGGCGAATCGCGATAAAAGTTTAGTGACGGACTCGCTGTTTCAACCACCAACAACTTGATAACTGACTGTGAGATAGAACAAAGAGAGATATGGAAACTGTGGATTCTAAGTGAAACACTTAATTATCTCCCAAAGTATCAACGTAGCAAAGAAATATATATTAAAAAAAAAAATCGTATTCAAAATTGTGTTTATTTCAATAAATAATTTATTGTAATGCCCTTTTATTTTTATTTACTTTTACATCTATAGAAAAAAAAAGAAGAAAGTGACGATAAATGACACGGGAAGTATTTTCAAGTGGCGAACTCTGGGAGATCACCTTGATATGGAAGGAAATAAATAAAATGAAGAAGTGCACAGGAACGAGTAAAGCTAATCCAGAGAAGTTATGTGATAAAAAGAGAGAAGAGCCCTCCACCAGACGAGAATATGGCCGAGAGGAACTTGCCTCAAGGCAACCGTACTATGGAGAAGAGCCCTCTGCCCGATATAAGTATGGCCGAGAGAAGCCAACCATTAGGCAAAGTTATTTCTGAGAAGAGCTCTCCGCCCGATATGAGCACGTTCTTTACTACTTGGGTTATGCAAAGGAAAAAGAGATTTATTATAATGATACGAGTAATAGTACTCCAGGCACATGGCACGTATCATGGATGTCAAGGCAGGAAGAGTGATATGCTTCTGGTGAAATCTTACAATATAGTGTAATAGTCGTGAAGGGTAACAAGACAAGCCTAAGTCTATGGTGCAAACTGAGGACTCGTCCAATGATGACGGCATCAAAGATGACGGTAGTCCACCTATGTCCGTGATGCAAGATAGGGAGTCGTATATGCCTAGGATGGGGCGAAAGAGAAAAAGATTAGTGATCTTACAATATAGTATAATAGCCGTGAAGGGTAATAAGTGGCAAGACAAGCCTAAGTCTATGGTGCAAACTGAGGACTCGTCCAATAATGATGGCATCAAAGACGACGGTAGTCCACCTATGTCCGTGATGCAAAATAGGGAGTCGTATATGCCTAGGATGAGGCGAAAGAGAAAAAGATTAGTGATCTTACAATATAATGTAATAGCCGTGAAGGGTAACAAGTGGCAAGACAAGCCTAAGTCTATGGTGCAAACTGAGGACTCATCCAATGATAACAGTATCAAAGACAATGGTAGTCCGCCTATGTCCGTGATGCAAGATGGGAAGTCGTATGTGTCTAGGATGGAGCGAAAGAGAAAAAGATTAGTGATCTTACAATATAGTGTAATAGCCGTGAAGGCAAGACAAGCCTAAGTCTATGGCACAAACTGAGGACTTGTCCAATGATGACGGTACCAAAGATAACGGTAGTCTGCCTATATCCATGATGCAAGATGGGGAGTCGTATGTGCCTAGGATGGGGTGAAAGAAAAAAAGATTAGTGATGATATAAAACTATCACGAAGCCATGAAAGTAGCATGGCGAATGGATTGGGTGAAATACGCTTTCTATGATCCCAGTGAACTTTTTTGTAGTTATACTCGTGGGAATAAAAGAATAATGTTTAGCAAAGTGGAAATTGATAAGCACATAAGCATGTCGTGGGAATGAATCAGTTTAGCAACATGGACAGTATGTCATCGGTACTGAAAAATTGTCGTAAAGGATGATACACTAAACAAAGGAGACAAGCAATCACAAAACAAGGATAGAGGAACCATGGATAATCAACAATAACTGCGAAACGTGATTCCTTGTAGCACAATCTCATATTTGTCGAAAGCAGTGGAACGGATGAACTGAAAAAGTATCCGAAGGCCAACCAAGGGGATGAAACAGGAATTAAAATTAAATGGCATATTTTATTTGACCCCAGAGGATCGGTTACGAACTGCGCCCGAAAAATTCATAACATCCAACATTAGGAGGTCATAATAAAACCTTTGTTGCGTACGTTAAAGATAAGGTGTGGGAAAATGTAAATGGTAAAATTGGCTGTACGTTATGTAATTTAAAGTAATGTCACTTGACTTTGCGATGATTATGATGGGTTAAGACATTAGGATAGCTTATTTTTAGTTTAGCTGTTTTAACTGCCAACAATATGCTGAAAATTCTATCATGTGAATATGTTACCACTCCGTAAGTGCATTGTTCTCTAAATGCACGGCATCATACTCTCAGTCCCGAGGTGTGCATTTAGGGAGTGCCGACTGTATCTAGATTGTGATCAGGTTGTGATCCGAATCGGATAGGATTATCATTGACACAACTGCGTTACCAGAAATGGTAGCAAGAAGAGTAGATCCCTAAACCAGTAGCATGCCTCTTAGGACCAAAACAAGAACATAACTCATCTGGGTACACAAATGGCTTCATACAAACTCGTACACAAGAAAAGGACTCTTTTATAATAAGCCAGTCCTGGTCCTCATGCATGTGGTTGTGCCGGCTTTCACAGACTTGACTATCGGGAGGCCTTGGTGGAAGGAAAAATTCACGGACCACTCTGAAAGATCAAAAACTGGGATCCAGGATACTGAATTCGATGGCCTGATAATTAGAATACTCTTAATAAAAAATTGTTCTAGGAATAATTAAGACAGAATCACGCAGGCTTCCAGTTTAGTGTTGGGCTGGTAGTAGTAATACATAGTATTAGTTAAATATATATATAGTTATCCATATAGATTTTTTTTTTTTTTTTTGATAACTGGCTCATTTTTGTTTTATTTGCGAGAAAGATTCATTGTGTACATGTTATTATGCATTTACAATTTTTATGTCTTTCTAAAATATAA